CTCTCTCTCTCTCTCTCTCTCTCTTTCTTTTAAATATATTCTTATTGCTTTATAGGTACAGAGGAAGGGAGAAGGAGAGAGAGAGATAGGAACATCGATGAGAAGGAACCCACACCCAGGCATGTGCCCTGACGGCCATGGAACTGGTGACCTCCTGGTGCCAGGTCGATGCTCAACCACTGAGCCACACCGGCTGGGCTGGGCAGACCACTCTTGATGGTAATAATAGCATCTACCTTAAAAGGGTATTATGAGCCCAGCCGACATGGCTCACAACCAGGAGGTCACGGTTCAATTCCTGGTCAGAGCACATGCCCAGGTTTCAGGCTCGATCCCCAGTGCGGGGCGTGCAGGAGGCAGCCGATCAGTGACTCTCTCTCATCATTGATGTTTCTATCTCTCTCTCCCTCTCCCTTCCTCTCTGAAATCAATAAAAGTAATAAAAAAGGATATTATGAAAATTAATTCAGAGGAAGCACTTTAAGCACTTCCTAAGTGCCTTCTAGACGCAAACAAAATTCCCTCTGCAGGGAGATATATGATCCAAAGCCCCAAATTATCTCACAAATAATCTCAAGTACTATGAAGAGCATAGAAATAGCCAGGCACACAATGAAATGGCACCAACAGGAAGGGGAAAAAAAAGAGATCAAATAGTAATAAATTCCCGAAGCTCTAAATATTGCAGTCAAACACTGGCTTGAAAAGAACTGGGAACACTCTATCCAAAGGAAGAGAAGCAGAACATGAACGAGGTGGGGCCTAGAAGCCATGCCCCTCTTCCTCTCATCTCTCCCTCCATGTCCCCCTCCCGCTCTCCTCCCTCCTTCCCTCTCCATCCCCCTTTTCCCCCCTCTGCCTCCCCTCCTGCTGCCTCTCCTGCTCCCCTCCCCTCCCTCCTCCTGGGGTCTGGACAGGACCCCCACCTTTTGGTACCAGTGCTTGACCAGGCGGATGAGGCTCTTGAGCTTGGCCGGGCGCTGCTTCAGGAAGGCCCGCTGCAGCTCCGTGAAGCAGGGGGAGAACTCGCCCTCCTTCCCCAGTCTCTCGCACTCGCGGATGAGCCTGACATAGACGTCGGGGTCAGGTCTGTAGAACTCCGTCACCTGACCTGTTAGGGACAAATCCATAACTTTAAGATGTCAGTCTTCCCTGAGGTTCTTTCCGTTGCCCTGGGGTGACAAGCTCGCTGGCGTGGATACAGGGAAAGGGCCATTTCCAGCCCCATTCTCCCATCTGCTGCCATTGCCCAGTCCACGCCACGAAGGTTACAGGCTTCTGCAGGATCCGCTGGCTGTCCCGCCTGCTTTCCCCATCACTTCCTGCTGGTCCTCTCTTCTTTCATCCTGAGCGTCCTGCCTTTCCCCCACTACACTCAGGTCTCCTCTAACCTCCGGGCCTTTGCCTGTGCTGTGCCCTCTGCCTGGCATGCCCTTCCTCCCCTTCTCTCTCTCTTTTAGGACCACAGTACCCCAGCAGCCAACACAGGACATGGCAACCAGGGGATCCTGCCAAATTTTTTTCATTTTGGGACATTTTTCTCGAGAGTCCCCTAGGCCAGTGGTCGACAAACTCATTAGTCCACAGAGCCAGTTATCAACAGTGCAATGATTGAAATTTCTTTTGAGAGCCAAATTTTTAAAACTTAAACTATACAGGTAGGTACATTGTTATTAACTTAATTAGGTACTCCTAAGGCTTAGGAAGAGCCACACTCAAGGGGCCAAAGAGCCGCATGTGGCTCACGAGCCACAGTTTGCCGACCACGGCCCTAGGCCACAGGAAATTCCTATCAGTTCTGTGCATTAAGTAGATCCGTTCCTACAATTTAATAGTAGCAGTTTGCACGGTGTCCGATAGATGTCACTGTGTTTCCCTCAGAAATTTAAAATCTAAACTATTCCTACACACACCTCTGTGAGCCAGTTCACTGGGGTGTCCTGGGGTGCCTGGGTGCACAGTTGGGAAACTCCCATTGGTGAACACCTACTATGTGCCAGGCCCTGTGAAAGAGCTTAATGTAGATGCTCATTTAATACTTTAAAATAAGTATGACGTAGCTAGGGTGGTTTTACAGTTTTTCTCGTGTGGGGACTGAGCCTCCTCCGAGAAGGTGTACTTCCCTGCCCACCTGTACATCACCCATAGATCCCCAGCCCTCAGAGTAAGGTGATGAGGCTTCCTCAGGTTTGGGGTCAACGATGAAATTAACATGCCAGATCCATGCTTCCTCATTTTTAGGAAGATAAAATACTATCGTGCCAATTTGCTGTTTAATGTCACTCCTGAGGCTGGTCAGACCTTCTCCCTTTCTCGCCCCGGGAGAGAACCGAAGATCTTTTCCCCATTTTAAAGGGATGCCCTGCTTTGGGAAGACTAACGGTGAACGACTTCCGATCAGAAATATGCACCGAGAGAGAAAGAAGCCCGGTCATAGGACAGAGGCGGACACCGCTCGTGTAAGGGCACTCACCCAGGACATCATAGGCGGGCAGCACATCAAACTCCACCTCCGCCCGGGAAGACTGGCTCTTGAGCGTGAAGCTGAGTGCGCGGGGGTTCAGAAATTTAGGCTGGACCTCGAAGTTCACGGTAAAGCTTCTCTGTTGCTGACATGCTTCCAGCTGTGTTCTGATTTCCTGGATGAACTCTCCTCGGCGCTCAAACTGCTCCTGGAAACTTGTGAGGCGGCTGAGGAAGACTACGAGGTCGGCGTCAGACCGATCTTTGAGGGCGGTGCCTTTGCCCGAGGAGCCGCCCTGGAACAGAGAGGAGGAGGAGGAGGAGGAGGAGGACTGGGGTTTCTTGAGAAGAGCCTCCCTACATAAAAGGACGAGCCCATCGCTAACATTCTTGGGCACCGGCCACTGTTCTGAGGGCATCGCCCGTCTTACCTCCTACGATGCTCCCAAGGACTTGGCTATTTAGGCGTTATTATTTGTTCCCATTTCACGGGTGGGAAAACATGCTCAGAGAGATTACCTATGGGCCCAAGCCCCCGCTGACAGGTGGCGGGGACGCAGTTCAAGCCCCAGCTGCCTTGTTCTAGAGGCTGTGGTCTTCACTCCCTGGCGTTGACTGTCTTACATCATTATATGCTGTAGCCTGGCCCCTGCTGGGTGGCTTACTGGATCTGCACAGCCCGGTAACGTATTGGGACATATGGATGAGGAAACGGAGGCACAGAGAGGCTACGTGCCTTGCTCGAGGTTTTACAGCCAGCAGGGGCTACCTTCTTTTTGCAATTATTATTAAATTTATGGGGGGTAACATGGGTTAATATAACATCACATATGTTTCAGGTGTGCAACTGTGTAATACATCTGCATATGCTATTGCAGGGGTCCTCAAACTACGGCCCGCGGGCCACATGCAAATACAAATATTGTATTTGTTCCCGTTTTGTTATTTTTTTACTTCAAAATAAGATATGTGCAGTGTGCATAGGAATTTGTTCATAGTTTTTTTTTAAACTATAGTCCGGCCCTCCAACGGTCTGAAGGACAGTGAATTGACCCCCCGTTTAAAAAGTTTGAGGACCCCTGCGCTATTGTGTGCTCACCAGCCAAGACCAATCTCCTAGTGTCACATTGTATTTGAACCCTTTTATCCTCTTCATTCTCCCCCCTACCCGCACCCCACATACCCCACCCCACCCGATCTCCATTCACCTAGTAACCAGCAACCTGTCAAAATTTAGACTCTGCATCAATGGTGAGTCCTCAGCCTGGCCCTTAATTAGCAGATGGTGGATCAGAGCTGGGCCTCCGCTTCCCTACCTCTGAAATGGACGTGGCTTAGGATGGTGGTTCATGAACTTCACTGGGGTATTTGTTAAAAAATTACAGAGTCTGGCCCGGCCGGCGTGGCTCAGTGGTTGAGCATCGGCCTATGAACCAGGAGGTCACGGTTGGATCCCCAGTCTGGGCACATGACAGGCTGTGGGCTCAATCCCCGGTAGGGAGTGTGCAGGAGGCAGCCGATCAATGATTCTCTCTCATCATTGATGTTTCTCTCTCTCTCTCCCTCTCCCTTTCTGAAATCAATAAAAATATATTTATTAAATAAATTGCAGAATCTATTTTCACAAACTGTGGTTATGCTTTTGGTAGGGATCCCCTGGAAACCACCAGCCCCAGATCTCTTTCTCTGTGGAAACTCCTGCCCGTTCAACCACCCCCTCCCCGGTCTGGTAGGTAGACTCACCTTTACAACCTTCGACACCCGGACTCTATCTTGGAGGAAACACCTCTCCTTCAGGAAACTGCAGATGATGTCAATGGCTTGCTTGACCTGCGTTCGGAAAGCGGTGTCTGGCAGGAGATGGTGTTCGATGAACCTGTCCAGATCCTTGGCTGGGATCTCTTCGAGATCCCTGGCTACGATTGCTTGGAGCGGCCACATTGTGATGCTGGGCAGGGACAGGAAGAGCCAGGGGCTGCAGGAAACCTCCGAGTCTCACTCTTCTGTGGCCCAGGTCTGAGCTGCCCTGGGCTTTGTTTCCTGGGAAAGGGAGGAGCTACGCCCTTGGCTCTTATCAGATGACTCACTCCTGGGAGCCGGAGCCCTCCCCCACGTTCTGCAACCTAACTCTGCCTTTAACGTTTGCCTGTCTTCGGACTGCACTCTGGAAACACTGTGTTTTAACCCCCATTAGTACCTCACCCGACAGAAATCAGGATCCCAAACCAACTTCTGGTTTTCTTCTTCCTAGTTTTTGTTTTGTTTTGTTTTGTTTTGTTATTGTTGCTGACAATTGTTTTATAGTCTCTTGTGATTAGTATGTGCGTATGGTCAAAGGGAAAAAGTCAGAAAACTCAGGAAGCATAAAACCCCATTCATAACCCCAAACCTCAAAAACGACCGTTGGAACATGTTGGTTGCCGGTGCGCCGCCCAGTCAGCGCATACACCAGGTTGCAGGTTTGATCCCCGGTCAAGGGGATTGCTATTTCTCTCTCACTTTGATGCTTCTCTCTCTCTCTCCCTTCTGCTGTCTCTAAAATCAATAAACATAACTTTGGGTGAGGATTTAAAAAAAATTCCCTCTAATCACCATTGCATCCCACACTTTTAATCGTTGTTTCTTTATTGTCAGTCCGTGCAAACTATTTTTAAATTTCTCTTGAGGATTCTTTGACTCCTGTGTTAGTGAAAAGTGTGTTAGTCTTCAAATATTTTGGAATTTTCCCGATAGCCTCCCATTATTGATAGTGTTTAATCCCATCGTGGTAGAGAGCATACTTTGATGAGCTGCATCCTTCCAAATGTGTTAAGGTGTGTTTTCTGGGGAATGTTGCATGTGAGCTTGAGGAGAATGTGTATTCTGTTATTGTTGGATGAAGTCGTGTATAGATGCCCATTAGCTATCTTTCTTAATTACACAACACTCATTTTGCCCACCAGTTGGGTCGTATGTATATCAAAGATTTCGTTTGCTCCCAAATGCCTTTATGGCAAAAGTACTTGTTCATGAAATGTATACTTTGGGCTAAATCTACATATAAACAAATCCAGCATGAGTTTGGAAGAGATCTGTCCTTAGGAAACCAGCATTGTATTCTTTGGAAAAAATGTAATAAAAGCATGCTTCACAAAACATTGCCTAGAATTAGGGAAGCATGAGTTGTAAGAATGACAACTGTAAAAGATTGAGGAAATAATTGGAAGAATACAGAATTACGCCCTCATGCTTTTGCAAGTGGCTGTAAGTTCTTGTTCCCTTTAAAGAAACAGGAACCGGAAATTATAGATGGCGCTTTCTTGTGTATTTTGTACAAGACAGACCGCACAGGACTCCACTCCAGGGGCCTGCCCTCAGCAAAAAGGTCTAGGTCAGGCATGGGGAACGGCTGGCCCGCGGGCCACTTAAGGCCCTGGAAATCATTCGGTCTGGCCCGGCCAAGGCATTAGGGGTGAGTTCATTAAATGTTTGACCAACTATAGCAGGCTAGCTTTTAAGTTGATAATTTTGTATGGCCCTTGAATGATGTTATAAATACCCAAATGGCCCTTGGCAGGAAAAAGGTTTCTCGCCCCTGGTCTAGGCCTTTCTTGAATGACTGGGACATGAAGGCCCATGTGTGGGCCCTGGCAGCCAAGTGAGAGGATTATGATACTCTGATGTCCTCCCTATGGAGTTGAAGACCCACAGGGGGAAGTGACTTGCTCAGGGTCACGCAGCAGTCCTGGGCCAGGGCCGAGCAAAATATCCCTTTTACATGCATGCGTGGTGATGCGTATTTCCGTGGGGCTGGGCTGTACTGTTGAACTTCATTAGGCCAATGTCCCTGGCAGATCTGAGTGGAGGAGGGACCAGAATACTGACTGTTAAACCATTTGCCTGTGGGCCCAGCTCATACGGCTTCTACCAGGAACTATGGCCCTTTGATGCCACCACCCCCCTTCCCGGGGCCTCACCTGTGTCAGCCCTGATGGGAGCCCAGAGCTTGGCAACTTGGTCTCACCTCTTTGAAGTATTTACCATTGTCCCCATTTTCCAGGTGAGGAAACTGAGACTCCACAGCTAGAAAGTGGCGGCCAGGATCTGAACGTTGGACTCGAATGAGCGAAAAAGCTGCTGTGGTTTCTGGTCAGGTGCTTTCTACCACATTATGTTGCCTCTGTTTTGTTTCAATGGGGGGGGGGAAGGGGGAGATGATTAGCCAAGTCAGGTGTACCCGTATTATTTATGAGAACTTTTCTTGCGTGTCTTTCTCCGTTTCTTTGGGATGCCCCATGTCTAGAGAAGGAGATTAGGTTTCTTTTCAACTGCCCATGACGGAGTGGTGGCGGCTGCCTGGATTGCTGTGTTAAGAAGGATTCAGAGGCTGCTAGGAGGCTCTGTGGGAATGATGCCATATCGATTAGTGATGTCTGCCATGAGCAGAGGGAGTGGCAAGTGTCCCCTGCCATTCCCGGGAGGCCTGGATGGCTGTAATCGGCACCTCTCTCCACCTGGTGGCTGCTAGCTGAGTTGCAGAAAAAAACAAACAGGATGTTAGGGCAGTGGTTTGCCAAGTCACGATGGAGGTGGAAACAGATCTCAACCAGGAAATATTTTGACCCACGGCAAGTGGATGAAACAGTCAGTATTCTGGTGGGCAGAGGTGGCGTAGATGAAAAAAAATCTCCCCAGTGAACCTGTTATGCCGACTTCTGCCCCAACCCTGGGAACCTCCCTTTGGGGGACAAGACAAGGAACTTGTTTCGAACTTGGCCTGGAAAAGGCCCAACTTCTGCCGGATGGAATTGACGGTTCCTTCTGGGAGGAAACCAACATTGATACCTTTTGCCGAGCACCTTGGGGACGGGTTACAGTGGGATCGGGGATCCGGCTGGAAAGTTCGTTACCTACTCAGCTCACTTTCGGGACGTGGAGAACCTCGAGGGAGGGGCCTTCGTGAAGGCTGCTTGCGGGATGGGATGGACGGTGCTGGAATACAAAGGAGGTACTCGGTGATCTCATCGGTGTCAACCAACCTGCCAACAGTAGCCCACAGGGCGCCCCCGATCTAGCTCCCTCCCCAAGACTGTTCCTCCTCTGGGCTTGGGGTTATTCACCAGTCCGGCGACTGAGCTGACAGCTTTCACGTTATCTGAGCCCACAACCACGTGGGACTTCCCCCCAAGGCTGGGGTGGTAGGGAGGAGCTGAGGGTGCTGCCTGCCTGGTGGGTGGGCACCAGCACAGAGTCCTCTTCTAAGAGGCCGTGGGGTGAGATGAGTGGCCTTGAGCCTACCTGCCCAAGCTGACATCCACCAGGAAGCAAGCTCCAGGTGGACAGAGACCACGCCTTCCTTGCTGGCTGCCGTGTCCCCAGTGGCTGGAACGTAGTAGATGCTCATTTAAACACTGGCTATCCAGGCAGTGGCGTGTATCCTGGTGGGGAGAAAGAACCCCGGGAAACCAGAAAGGAAGAGCGCAGGCCATGGTGTTCCTGGATATTCCTACTTTATTTTTGGCTACATCATCACAAAGAAAGGCAGTGGGAGGATCTGGGGTTCTGCATGCACCGGAGGGCAGAGGGCATGTGTGTACTCGAGGCGGGGTGGGGGGGGCGGTTATATTTGTGGGGAGAGCGGAGAGAGCGTGCGCCTGGACTGCGGGCACTGGGAGCTCGCCACATGCTGGTTCCAGCGCCAGTACCCGCGCCAGGCTTGGGCGACGCAGCCAGCATGCTTTCTCCTAAGGGCAAACCGAGGGGCAGAGGTGGGCGCCGGGGCTGCGGAGGGTCAGGGGGCCGACGGCAGCCAGGAAGCTGTTGGCCATCTCGGGGCGGGCGGGGAACGTGGTGTTTAGGACTGAGCGTTTAGAAATTGGTGGCTCTCAGTGAATTGTGCAGAGCTGGGGGTGGAGAGCCTGGCCGGGGAAGGTGAAAGGCGTGTGTTTCCAGGAAGTGAGCGTTTGCGCGTCCATCTCAGGTCAAGGTGGGCTGCTGGACAGGGGGCGATCCTCACAGGGGCAGGCGCCGTGGGAATGGGAAAAACCAAGCTTTTCACAGGCGGCGCAGACTGCCCGAACCCAGCCTCGGATGCGTGATGTGTGTTCGCACTGCCTTCTTCTCCTTTGGAAAGCAACTTTTTTAAAGAGCAAGGCTGGATGGTCCCGATGGAACAAAAGCCTTTTGCACCGGCACCTGTCACACTACAGTTTCAGATCCACGATGACGGCGGTGTATTCCTCCCGCACATTGGAGGGTGCGAGGACAGAGACAGACAGATTCGGGGCGATTCTGGGTGAGACACAGGCGCGAGAGTCAAAGCAGCCGAGTCAGAGTGTCAGGGACAGGGGTCCTAGGTCCACTGAACGGAGAGCAGAGGGAGGAGGAGCCCGATACGGCTTCCGTGAGGCCCCCCTCCTCCCAGGCCCAGAGCTCTGGCTTCCAGGCGCCTTCTGCGCCCACCCCGGGAGGCCAGGGGCTGGGAAAGGCCTGCTCGGGCGCCTACACAGCCTGTGGGCTGCTGCCTGCACCTGGGCAGGGCCAGGAGCCGGCCCTCCGCCCGTGGCCGCCTGGCGGTGCCCACGGGGAAGTGGGTATCCGAGGAAGCAAGTTCTACGTGGAAGCTCAGGTTTTGCCCGATCGCTGGTCCGGCAGGTTAGAGGAGGTGAGGGGGAGAGGCTGTGTTAGCACATTTTTTGCTTTTGCTATTGAACCCCTTAGAGAGGGAGAGGGGAGAAGGGGAGAGAGATGGGGGTGGAGAGGGACAGAAAGCTGGGAGCCTGGACGCTCTATGTCTACCCTGGTTCAGGGTCCCCACAGCTTTGTCCGGTGCTGACAGCTGAGGGGACACACAGATGCAATGCAGGAAACGGGAGTGTACGTGCCCGCCTGCTCAAGGCCAGGAAGGGCTAAAACATTCCTAAACGATGACGAACGTCTGTAATTACCCAAACCGGGAGGTTGTTAAAGGAACAACCTCTTTGTAAAGATCTCTTATCCATGACCCGACTGCTCCATCCTGGCGGGACTGGAGCAGGGCTGCGCTCAGAGCCCACCTCGCAGCCTCGAAGGAGCATCGCGGGGGGTAGGGTGGGGGCAGAGGAGGTCTTTGGCGTCAGTGCCCAAGGTGAGGGGGACCCCAAAAGCAGGTTCAGGGAGGGTGGCAGGGGAGGGGCAGGGGCGTACAGGAGAGACCAGAGTGCAGTGGGCCGCTGGGGCAGGCTGGGGCAGGCTGGGGGGGACCTGGGCAGGGGGCAGGGCACGGAGCCAGGGAGCCGGGCGCCACCCTAATCGCTGGGCACGTGGTTCTCGTTCTGGAGCTGGTGCCAGCGCTCGATCTTCTTGTCCTTGTTCTTCAGACACTCGTACCAGTGTTTCAAGCGCTCTCCCTTGGCCGAGATCCCCAGCTGGCAGCCTCCTGAGTGACAAGGGTGGACAGGGACAGGGGTCAGAGTGGAGGGACACAGGGGACTCGCATTCTGGACCCAAACGTCCAGCTGGCGGAAAGCTGCCGCCAAGCAGTGAGCCCC